GAGTCGGGTACCGGGAGGCGGCCGCCGGGGGCGGTCAGCCCTACAAGATGCGTCTCCAGCTCTTCTGCATTTTGCTAGCCACCGCGGTCTCTGGAACTCGGGGCTGGGGCTACTGTGAGTGTTGGGGTCGGAGATAGGTGGGGTTGGGCCCAGGAATCCAGAGCCTGCAGGGCGGGTCCCACACCGCATTGCGGCTGGGTGGTCGTCGGTCTATCCCCGCCGGCGCGCGCCTGCTCACTCTCATCTTTTCTTGCCTCTCCCCCGCGCTCCGCAATGCAGCTCCGAGGCTGCTGCGCGCTCCCGGGGCCGAGGCTGGGCTCAGAGCCGAAGATGGAGTCAGCCCATTTGGGGAATTCGGGGCTGGAATCCAAGCGGGAGCCGGTGCCTGGGTTTGAGGTTAGGGTTGGGCATAAATGTGGGACTAGTGACACAGGGTAGGGTTAAGGTTTTGCCAAAGACTGGGGTTGGACTTTGGAGCTGGCCCAGGGGCTAGAGTTTGTGGCTGGAGCTGGTTTTTGTGGCTGGGGCTGGGTATTTATGGCTGTGATCCAAACAGGAGTTGGTGCCCCTGATTGAGACTAAGACTGGACAAGGATCTAGTAATGATATTAGGACTGGGGTTGCTGAGTTAGGAGCAAGACCTGGATTTGGGGTTGGTACAGTTTTGGCGAGCTCATAAATGAAACTGATGCTGAGGACTTCGGGTTGGATGAGTGTCCTACTGATGTAGATTATGGAAGATACTGAGGTTTGAGATTGTGTTTGGGGGGAGTACTAAGCCAGGACAAATACTGGGCTAGGGAGTTCTATCCCTCCATAAGTGTTTCCCTGGGAGAAGGCAGCCTCCCCTGAACATGCAGCCCTAGCTGCAGCCCAGGTTGAATGGATGTCTTTAAGGTAGGGCTGGGTCTTCCACTGGGGGGCATAGAAGAGGAAGCTTTGGGCACCCTGTGGGCCCAGACTTTGAAAGGGCCTGAGAAGGGCCATAAATAATTAACAAGTTAATTTCCCCGATTCCAGATGGCTGCGATGAAGAGCTGGTGGGTCCCTTGTATGCACGCTCCCTGGGTGCCTCCTCCTACTATGGGCTCTTCACCACAGCCCGCTTTGCCAGGTTGCATGGTGAGCTTCTTGCATGTCGGAGGGATGGGACTCCAGAGGGCTCAGGGGAGAAGGGTAGTGGGTGGTAAAAGCACTTGCTTCTTCTGTAGGCATCAGTGGATGGTCACCCCGGATTGGGGATCCAAATCCCTGGCTCCAGATAGATTTAATGAAGAAGCACCGGATCCGAGCTGTGGCCACACAAGGCTCCTTTAATTCTTGGGACTGGGTCACACGTTACATGCTACTCTATGGCGACCGTGTAGACAGCTGGACTCCGTTCTACCAGCAAGGACACAACGCAGTACGCCAGATGTGCACACTTGGGGAGCCTCCTCTATTCTGGGGCCTGGGTGGGGCACTAGCCTGACGGGGAAGGGAGGCAGTGGTGAGGGCTCAGATAAGGACCCAAGATTCCACTCTGGGGATTAAGTCCAGAGGTACTGTCAACTCACCATGCATGAAAGACACTTGGCTCATGGAGCTTAGCATACATTAGAATAAATCTAAGAGAGTTTTCCGAAGGACGTGGCATTTTGTTTGAGTTTTAAGGGAACAATAGGATGGTGGGGGAGGACACTTTGGGTTAGGGAAACTGCACAGCTACACAGGCAAGGAAGGAATTTGCTTTCCAAAAGTCAAGATTGGCAAGGTGTGAAAGCCATCATAGGCTGGGAGGCTATGGAGAAACAAAGCAACGGGTAGGGATGTGGTTACTACTCTCCCCCCCCCCAAATGGAGAATCCCATCCTTTCCCCTTCCCCAC